GTAACAGAATATTATCACAAATTATCGAGTAAAGAGATAATAGTGCCAATTAAAATATATTTAATGTAAATTCAAACTTTTATAATCGCGCTCAGAATTTTGTTCCATAAATGTGTTTCTTTATAATTTTAATCGCAAAAACCAACAAAAATCGTATTATTTTTTATCTTCTCTTATTCTTTCTATCGTTGTAATTATTAAATAATAATCTATTTTCTAAATATATTTCTGCAGAATTAATGTGTAAAACAATATAAAATATAAAATCTTAATTTCACAAAACTGGAGTAAGTTTTGTGATGAAAATGATGAAACAACACGTTTGTGAAAAACACATCGAGCGATATCCTTCAGTAAGAGTGTCTTTTAACACGCACTTTATTTTGGAGATTCGCATAATCTTGTGATCTTGTGTAAATGATATGTACGTGACGGGAAGTCTAGCGGTAGCATTAACATGTAACGTGATCATTAACACGGAATGCTGCGCGTGGAAGATATCAAATCCGCCATCATTAAACTCTCTGTTTTCTCCGTTTACCTAATCGCGTAAGCGGATGTCTAAATTTCCCACACGATTTAATTTGTAGTATTGAAATATCATACTGCGTTCCACCTCTCATTATTCCAAAAATAAAACCAATTGTTTGTCCGCCGAAAAAAAGCCTGTAAAGAGAACCCACTGTGGAATGTCTCGCGAAATTGTTACACACTTCACGCGGTGGACACTGCGGCGTCTCTCACGATCGTATCTTTATTTAATATGCAAAACTGATAGCTATATCCGCAGCGTCGTTTTACATCCAGATTTGAGAAATGAAATTTTATGCAAATTAAGTGCTGCTTATCAGTTTCGCGGCCACGAAAAGCAACGCGCACTCCGTGTAGGTTTTCGCCGAAAAAGGATTAATTCCGACACCGTGCGCTTCTGCCCGCGTTTAATTTCGCAACAATGCATTATTCGTGCTGGAAGGTCGAATAACGCCTGACTTATTCGTAGCAGCTCCCGTAAAAGGCCGTGGCATCGACGATATTTGCATAAAATAGTATTTGCATAGAACACGCGTGACGGAATCGCGCGATGACGGAAAATGCCAGCGGTGAGCGTGGCGGCTACGACGCGTTGATACCTGCACCAGGGCGTTAACTTAATCGTTTCTGCAAATATCGTCGTTAATCCTTAGCAAGGGAGTGGTCACGCGGGACTAGTCTCGCTTTGCCGAGCTCCATTTGTCTAGTGATCTTGCCGAGCACGAGTCGTTATATTTACGAGTTTGATTTGAAACGGTACGCACTACGGTAATCGCTATGACGAGTGTAATAATTATTAAACATGCGCATAAATTGCAAGAATAATGGATCGCTAAACTTTTCATTTTTATGTTAACGTGCTGAAACGTGCGCGCGCGCATGCATGTATAATTTTTCAAATAGAAAAAGTGACACTGACAAAAATTCGTGTAAACTGAAAAATCGCAGAAACCAGCTTTATATTAATCGTGTTAATTAAAATGAAGCAATTGAATAGCTTACAAAATAATTGTAAAATAAAAGAATGTTATTTTTTTCTAAAATTTAGCTCTTCGACGCGTGATTCATATTTCACTTTTAAGGCATAGTCTGTGCAATTAGATATCTGTGTAATTTAAATAAGTATTGACAATCAAATGTTATGATATTCAAATTAAAAATATTCACTATTTATTATTCATAAAAGTAATTTTTTATTTAAAAACTGCAAAAAGGATTGAATCGCGATTATCGAGTCCGAATATGAAAATGTGAAGTGGAGCAGTAGTTGTTACGGCGAATAAAACGATTGTTAAAAATCTGAATTGACTAGAAAAATGATGGATCGCTAGATTTTCGATATTTATTTCCGCGTGCTGATTCATGAAAATAAAAGCGCGGAAGAATAATCTTTCAAATAGACACGGTGACATTGATAAAAGCCCACAGCGGAATGAAAAATCGCACCGCAATGACTCAATGGAAATAATAAATATCACATCCGACGTTTCGTACGATTGCAGTCGTGTATCTTCCGCGAGGAGTGTCGTATGCGAGAAGATTGCGCGAGGTGCTGCCTTGTTTAACACCGGCTTTCGAAACAATCGATAAGGCCCGCCTCAAGAATTCTCTCGCGAAGTACGTCACGCACCTTCCACGAACGATAAACCTGAGCGGCGAGCGGTGCGCGTCTCGAAAGAAGAGAGCACCTACGACGAAATCGGACATCGACAAACAAACGCGGCAAACGTACTGTGCCTTTCCTTACGAGTCATCGACGAATACGTGGAAAAGTCAATGCCACGCGGACGTGCGCGATGAACCCTCTCTCGCATGAGAAATCTGCGAGAATAGTGAAGCTAAATCTAAATAATAATTTATAAATTTATAATTTCACGTAAGACATAAAATCGTGTTTATTAATCAAATTTCTTTTCTTATCTCTATTAATAAATTGTTCGGATTCTAAAATTTTTAATATAAGTTACATCAGCAATGATGGGAATTGTTTCTAATTATCGAGAAAAATTAAATTAAATAAATTCATTATTTTTATGAGAATCAATTTATATCATTTATATTATTAATTTTAGCTCATTAAAAGTTTTCAGTCAACAATTATCAGGTATAAACACAATATGAGCACATTAAATCCTGCGTGATATGTAACCTCATATTATTATTACACAATTTAGCTTTAATTTCTGACCCTGTAAAACTCGATCTGGGACAATCGATCGACGTTTCGAAATCGACGATATGTGTTGATGATATGTGAAAAATGTATACGTTTACCGCAATTGTTTCGCAGTAATTACAGCCATTTCAACGCGCTCGGTTCAGCCGCATTCAATGGCGCCGTTATTATTCAAAACATAATTATCTCATAAGCTAATTTCCCTCGTACGATATACCATGGAAAATTATTTTCGATTGCGTAAGAATAGTATCAGCCATCGAATATCCATCGCGAAAAAGCTGTAAAAAATTTCGAACGCGATTATTAATTTACGATCCACCTGTTGAAGTCTCGATAAGATTTGTTAAAAATTACATTTGTTTCTTATCTTTTTAACGCGTTCCAGACTTAATCGTGAATATATAGATTCAAGATTATGAATCCAAAATACACTCCGAGTTTTTTATTATGGAAATAATGTAAATATTTGCCAATTTAATTGATTTTTATTATACCCATCCTTAAAAATTCAATATTGGGGAAATATCTATATGATAAAGCAATCTTTTTTTAATTCCCACTCATCGACTATACACGGAGAAAATTTTATATCAAAAATTACTATACGGCAGTAGCCGAGGACCATAAGTGGAATTATAAATTTAAATACTATGGCCATGTGAAAAACAATAAAAATTTGTCCTTTATGGCGCGCGGCTACTGCGTACATAATAATTTTTTATATAAAATTTTCTCCGTGTAACCCATGTAAAAGGATAGCGTACAAGAAGATAAACTATTCGAGCCACTTTATATGATAAAATGTCAATGTTGTCAAAGTCACGTTCTCTGCTGCCAGCAGACCTTCGCAAAACCTTCCGCTTATTATCGATCACGTCGTCTGCCTCTCTCTATATGTACGTCCTTTCGTTGCTCAAGTGACACGTGAACTGTCATATGCAGTGTTTAGCGGCTCGAGTTTTACGGCAGGTATTCGCCAGAGAGTGCGGGAGAAATACTATTCTCAACGTTAAATGTTCTCAACGAAAGAAGCCATTGTCCGAAAAGTTGTTAAAGCCCTTAAATTTTATTTGCGCAAAAATTTACAAATAAAAAACAGAATATGTAAAATGGAAATATGATGAATTAGAAACACCTTGAAATAATCTGAAATTTTCCTTAAAAAAATATTTTATCAACAATTTTTCGCAAGGTTTCATATCGTATTGCGACAAAATTAAATTACGAAAAATTCTTGCCTCTTACGTGTGTTAGCATGTCGTATGTAATGTTTTAGTACTAATGGTTGCAAATTATTATTAGTATTGAGATTGAAGTCTCGAGTTCTGTAACATAGTGCAATATTTATCCCCTATTTGCGAAGTAAACAGCCAGCAGCGAACGGTTTTAATTAACATTCTTAGTTAAAGTGGATGCTGTGTCTATCGTGACGTATTCGAACTGATTACATCCGCGCGTACGTGATACCGAATATTATTTCTCTTCCGAGATCGCATGATACGATCTGCGTGGCGGAGTGACCTCAAGATGATTATTTCGTGCGGATTCCACCGAACCGTGACAGAGATACCAAGGTTAATCAATTTCTGCCTGGCACGCTGTACACGGACATACGTAATCCGCCTATAACGGAGCTTTAAATATCGCACGGACTGTCAGGCCGGTTTAATCGCGCATAACTGTGGCGGAAACGATTGAAAATAATTTAGCCGCACTCACGGAAAATTGCTAAATTCAGCTATTAACCTACTGCATATTACTATGTGATGCCGTATAATATTTATCTCTCGTATCGGAAATATTTTTTGTCAAGTGTATTGTAGATAAACAAAAAAATCGTAATATTATTAGCGCCAGATGTCAAAACTAGTTTAATTTCGACGAGTTCAATTGTCGATACTATTAATATAAATAAATGCTACTTGCTTTCGAATCATTTTTTAACGATCTCTATTTCTGTAGAGTCTTTCAATGTTACACACATTAATTTGGAATAAAATACACAAATATCGTTAAAAAATAATTCTTTTCATTGCAAGCGACCATGCAAGATTGACGAGAGGCGTTGAAGTCTCCTTGAAAAATTAACCTCTATTTCAATAAGTCGCATGCTCTATACAACTTTTAGTTTACTCGAATGTATGCTGAATGATGCTTTTCCGGAGATGAATTTAATCATTAAAATTCGAGCGAGCAGCTTTGCGCGTCGCGAAATTCTAGAGAAATTTCAACTCAACGAAATTGCACCGGCTCGAATCGGCAAACCGGCTGGAACAACGCCGTCGCTTACCTGACTGAGCGTGGTCGGGATGATGTCAGGTGTCTGCGGTAACATCGTTGCGGCCGTTCTGTCGCTTACGTGCACCTCGAGTCAAAGCGATCTATCGGCGCACACGATCAGCGACATAATCGGGATCAACGGCAGGACCGCGAAAAGAAAACACCTCGGCGGGATACACTGTGGGATCGATCACGAGCCGCACACTCCGACCGTCCTTCTCCTCTCACTCTCCCTCACTCCTTCGCCCGCTCTCGCCGTTCGGTTTTCGCCACTATGCCGAAACTGAATCCACGCAGCACACGCGCCGATCGCGCGACCGTTTCATCAACGCTCGGTGCACGCCGCGGACGCCGCAACGGTGATCGGAGAGCTCGCGAGAGATCGGCGGTCAAAAACCTCCATGAAGACCGTGCGGAGGAACGCCGGGGAACAGTAAGACACGACGATACCCTCGCACCTCGAGGGCGTGCGCGAGACTGACGGGTCCGGGCGGTGTAGCTGCACGGCCGAGCGTCGCCGAACGCTGGCGAACACGACCGAAGGATTGTCATCCCTGTGCACGCGCGCTATACGCGGCGTTTCGGAACCTCAATGGTGACGATAGACGTGACAGATGTGATATCGATAGATTGTGACAGAATGACCGGTGCTAAAGCGCCGATAGATATGATCTCCTGCTACAAAAATACGTATTGAATGTTGTCCTCTATATTTACCAAAAATTTTTTAAGTCGTCGCTTTTATTTTTAATACCGTGACGGAAAAACCGATGGCACTAATAAAAAGTATTATAACTGCATTTTTCGTCAGTTTCAATCACAGAATCCGATATCACATTTTGTGTTATATGCAACTGACATTTTATTTCCTCCTATTTTAAACTTTTGAAGAAAAAAAATTATTTCAAAAGTTATAATTTATATTAATGCAGTCAAAATGTGGATAATTATTTTATAAAGAAGCGAACGCTATAATTTATAATTGATTATCGGATTAATTATCTAAATATATATAATTTGTGATTTGTCGTAAAAACTGATCTTCTCATCCTCATTTTACAGCTAATGATTAACATGTAACAGTTCTCGAAAAAATACAAGTTTGACAGAGTATTCGCAAGAATTCCACGCGGTTTTCTTCACAAACGGACCTCCTTGCGAGAAGCTCTCGTTTGTATTCACCGTGTAACGGTTGCCTCGCAGGTAGCATAATGGTCGTATCTAAAGCTGCCTTGCAAATGACAAATTCCTTTCTCTCCAACCACTCCTGTAACCACTAAAGAAACCGTACCTCTAACTATGTGAATTTAATGCACGCGGAATTCTGAGATTTATCCGCTCTTCTACTCGCATTCTCTTGTCAGCTATTCGCATTGGATTGCTTGTTTCCGAAATGCCTGGCTAAATGTTTTTCGACAAAACATTCCGGCTATTTCCATTTAACACGTGCGTGAGAATACTTTGTCGAGAAATATTTATTAGAGATACACAACATTATTCATAAGCTTGTCAACATCATTAAAGAAGAAAAGTGATGCAATTTTTCCAACTGCATCATTGTGCTCTGAATAAATTTTGTTAACAATTGTCTCTATAAATGCTTTTTGAACTTGAATTAATCCAAAAATTTATAGACAGTTTAGTGCAATTTAATTTAACATTTTATACGTATAACATAAATATTGATAGTATCTGTCTTTTCGAGCTGTTTAAAGCTTTATGTAAATTTGCCGGAGGAAAGCAAAATAAAACGATTTTTATTTAGAGAGAAGGAGAAAAGACAGGAATAAATACGAGGGCGCCGGGAAAAAGTAAAACAAAAAGACGCGGTTAAAAATAGTGGACCGGTTACGTCAACCGGTCCTTTCAAGGACCGTGGCCTATTATATTATTCTCTTTTCCACGCCATCTCCACAGAATGCTTCGAAATGTCAGAAACTGAGGCAGGAACAACGATAATGTATCGCGCACTGTATCGCGCCAGGCATTTATATCCGTCGAATAGCAAAAATTTATTAGAACGTCCGACAAGGAGCGCGCCACGTGTGTCATTTCTATAAATTCTCTCAGACATTGCGTGCGGGAATTCTCGTTGAACTTTTTTAACACATTGTATTTATGAGCATTACGTATTCTTAATTTTTAACGTACGTGACGGAGCGACACGCTTTGTATGCAATAACATTTGCATGTTGCAAAATCAAAGTAAATATTTGTAACGGTAACGCCGTGTAAACCATTACGTTACATTAAACGCGTTAAATATTCAATAGTTTAATTTCAGTGGCTGCGTAATATATTGATTATATTTATGAAATTCTTACGGATAAATTTTCAGTAAATAAATGACATTTTATTATTGTCATATTCAATCAACGATAATAGCATTATAAACAGCATAAAGCAGGCAACTTTTGGACAAAAATGCAAAACTGACTAACAGCGGAAGGGAATTTCCACGCGTCACACCTGTTTAAAGTTGCGATAAGCAAAATGATCGCGTCACGAGATGTGAGTCACAGCGAATGAATCTCTGTTAAACGATGCCGTCGTTAAATGACGCCTTCGCAATATTCTTCGCCGGAAAGAATCAACGTTTTTCATCGGAAGCTGAACGTATGAACTCGATGATGTTCAAGACGATAATCGTGGCGTATTAGTCAACTCTTTCAGAGCTTAATTTCTTATAGAAAACTACTAATTCACCAAAAATTGAGATTGCCAAAAATGAGATTTATACGCGAATAACACCGATTTATAAAGTGGCTCTTGTTTTTTTATTAATTATTTATTAATTTTATAAATCTTAATTAAATTCATAAGTGAATGCAAGAAAAAGGTATTTTTCTCAAAGCATTTCTTTGCATTTTCTTATCTGATAAGGATATTTGCATCTGAAAGGTAACATTCCTAATAATCGTGTAACGACATACCTCTTCGTAGATTACTTTATCTCAAATGCGAAACGCTTAGTCTCGATGTACGTTAAACAGAGAAATTAGAGAAATTTTCTAAACATATATTTTATCTGAAGATTGCATATCTGTGACAACTTTAAAAATATGCATTTATGAAGAGATGCGTTGATAAAATGTTTATCTATTTTACATGTTTCTGCGCTATTCATTTTGGCGTCATCTATCTTTGTGACATCTTGTTTCGTTTTATATGCGCGCGCAAAATGCTTTTTCTATTTAAGTTACAATTTCACAAAAACCGGGAAGGGCAACCCTTTTCTGCCCTACCTTGCATGCATAAACCAAACGATTTAAATTAAAATGGTGGGTGCCACTTTCCACGCGCGGCTTTCTACGACCTACATCCCGCGTTTCTGCCAACGAGATCGTCTTTATCCGCATCGTCGAACGCCCAACTTCCGGAATAATTCACAGTCGACTTCCACAGATGAGTGATTTTAAATCAGTCCTCGTTTGCATATCCATTCATCGCAATGCTTGCAAATTGTAGCGTAGCGAGTAAACAGCTTTGTAGCTATACATTGTGTTTGTGCAACTGTATATCCTATCATTGAAATAAATAAAAAAAAAAAACAAGAGAAGCTAAAATTTCATATGTGTGTTACTTGTTTTTAAAACTAATACACAGTGGGATAAATTTCAAGTATATACATATGCATATATACGAGCAATAAATTTTGTAAGAATCACTCAAAAAAATATTTCGCTGACGTAGTTAGATTTCTAGATATCGCAACAAGAATGTATCGCTATTTTTCGTATCTGTGAAAACATTGTTTGTCACATACAGAATTTATAGCAGTAATGTTCTAGCAATAGCTTCTGAAAAATTTAGGTACCATTGCTAAATGTTATTCATTGCATGATCTAACACGTGATTGATCTTATATAGATAGGCGCTTTAGAGAAACTTTCTTTTTAAAGTTCACAAACAATACAGATATATATTCTGTTTCTGTCATCTAAACTGATTAAGTAATTACATATGTAATATCACAACAGTTGCTAATCATTTATCTGTTTTAGTTAATTTTTTACACCTAGAAAATTTTAGCTATTATTGCAAGATCATTTTTTTGAGTGATCTGTTTCAAAGGAGAATAAATCACGTTTGCGGAAAACGTTGAGGATTTGCTTAATAAATAAACGATCCAGCACAGTGTCACACGATTCGCAATACACAATACTTATGAGAAATGCGATAGTGTAACAATCTATACAATATATAATGTAACAGAAAATCTATATGATAGAAAATCACAACTTTTGAATAATGCTGTATTATACTAAGGGCTTCTGGCAATTCGCGTTAAATAAATAAACGGATAAATATTCAGAGGGCGATGGCGCCGTGAGAGGTCTCGGAGTGCATCCATAAAACATGCCAGTCCCCGATGGAAAAAGACAGAAGCCGATGGAGGGAGCCGACGCTGGCGAGAGTAAAGAAAAACTGAGAATCTTCCCACCACATGTTTCACCGCGGAAGGGAAAATTCTTAGACGGTGCCAGGGGTCGTTTTCACGAAGGGTGCGAAGGCGGTGTTTGCAGCGTGCGAAGGAAGGGAAGGCAGAAAGAGGTCTTTGAAAAACGATGCGCCGCGCGGATGAGCTCTGTTTCGTCGCGGAGGTGAAATAACCTCGGTCAATGTCGAAGGTCGTTGGCCGACGTCGCGCGCTCGAGACCGAGAATATCGCTTTTCCTTATGTAAACGTAATTAAAAAAATCGCCGACGACGTGCAGCGAGAGAAAGATTAATTGATCGTAATAGTCATAAAAATTCATGACTTTCAACGAATTCCGTGAACTCTGTTTCGATAGAAAAGTATGAATAATAAAAGTATGATATGAAATAATAAATGAATGATAATAGTACGATGTAGTATAAATCGAGATATCAAAATCCAGTTGATAGAATCTGCACGATTAAATATAATAATTATAATGTAGTGATTAAATCCGTTCATTTATAGTTATTTATATCAGGCTTCGAAAGCAGATGTTCAATTAATATAATTAAAGATCCAATGCGATACAAAAATGAAAATGATTAAATAATATAAATATTTTAAGTATAAAGCTCGTATAAAGAATACTTCAAATAATGGCAATGCGGATAATTTGCTCGAAATTGCAGAAATAAATAAATGAAATTGTACGCGCGACTTTTATGCAGATGCAAAGCTCCCAAGTGTATCTAATAAAGAATGACTTCTTCTGTTGGAATGTGCATGTGTTATTGTGAAGAGTTGCGCTTGCAACATCGCCGGAATAACAAAGCGACCAAATATTGATATAATACATTACGCAAAGTGTTGATTCATCAGCGACGAAGACTTATTCATTACTTCCAAACATTAAACTATCGGAGTTTACAACAGGAGAAGAATGCTCTACATTAATAACGGCATTTAGAATCGAGTTCTTTCGAATGTTCTTCGAGAGAGAGAGAGAGCGAGCGGGGAACTTTTGCTTCTGGATGTTTTATTTCCATCGGA